GTTTACGAGGTATAATAATCAATAGCCATATATCAGAGGTCTTCAGAAAGAAAATATTCTGTTTTCAGAAAGCTGTCAAGAAAGCTAGTAATCGTGGCAATTAAATGCACTTCTTAGCAATTTGGAAACAGGCCCTCGGTATCGATTTAAGGTGTATTACAACGAGGTTGATGTACATCAGCTTAAAGATGAGAACGGCCAGTCGAGGGGAGAAAAAATAAAATTAGAAGAATCGTTGTTACAGGAGAAGGCAAAGCGATTGCGAGTGGATAAAAAAGCCCGAGAAGCTCTCGAGAAAGCTGAGAAGAAAGGGGCCTTCTCCAATAAAAAATTTATTCAGTTGGCCAAAAAAGTGATTACAAATGGGAAAAAAGGTAGAGACCCAGCTAAGACGAAGTTTGATGAATATTCTAAGCACCATCAAAAGAGAATTAAAAACCAACAGAAGGAGGAGTGCTAAACTACACTCTCCTTTCTTGGGCTGTACAATTTTGTTGCAACCAAAATTGAAGTCCTCAACACTGAGACTAATCAATATGAAACTTTCAATCTTGTTGGAGAGGGAGAGCTGCCATTTACAGAGTCTGACCCAAAGGCCCTTAATAATGATGACATTGATAACATAAATATGTGGCTCTACCTCAAAGATAAATTCATTATTTCAAATGAGGCCTGGCATGAAATTGCCATTAAGGCTAATGATCTCCCCAATATATATTCCATCAAGAAGCAAATTAATGAGCTAAACAGTGAATGGAACTTGAAACCAACACTAGGAGATGCTGAAGGTGTTCAGTTAGGATTTGCAGAAAGCTTGCAAGAGCACATTGTTAGGCTTCAGAAGAATGGAGAAATCAATGGAGAAACTGTTAAGATCAAGCTTAGTGGTGATGGTACAAATATTGGAAAGGGGCTTACAGTTGTCAACTTCACTTTTACTATTCTCCATGAAAAGGATGTGGCAATGGGTGTGAAGGGAAATTATATACTTGCTGTTATAAAAACTAAAGAGACATATGATAATCTGAGAGACAGCCAAGCAGACCTTCGAATAGAAATGTCAAACTTAAAGGAGATAAGTGCAAATAATTGCACCTATAAAACTGAATACTTTTTAGGTGGAGATTTGAAATTTTTAGCACTGGTATGTGGTTTAGCCAGGGCAAATGAGGATTATGCTTGTGTGTGGTGCAAGTGTCCCAGGGAGCAACAGTGGGACACAAGCAAAACATGGTCAATTAATGACCCCAAATTTGGTGCTAGAACTGTCACCGAAATAGCAATGAACTGTCCAAGATAAGGCAGTGAAGCCTAGTGAAATTGGGATTATATAAATGTAAACTGAGGGACATAAGGAAATTACACTCTGAGGCTACTCTGACATACATTTAGTCTTACATTCTTGGGACTATCTCCAGGCACTTTTAAAAGTACGGTTTCGGAACTCTTTCTTTATCTTACTCAAATAAAGAGACGGTATTTGCAATTACCGTGGCTATCCATGGAACGAGTTTTTTTTTTAATGACATAGAGACTCGGCACGTGGAATCGGTAAAAACCAATAAGTTGGGCCACCTGATATCACTTCCTCGGGATAACTCATCACATCCTGCCGGATAATGGTATTGTTGAGCCTTCACATGTTTGTGAAATGTCTCCACTAATCGACCATGAAATGCCGCTAAATCCTACGCAATTGTCGATTACGATGTAGAATTTTCTCTTAGTACGTTACGTAAAGCGTTACGTATTCTATCGCTCAGCTCCTTGAGGATATTCACATTAGGGCACTGAGATTTATTTTTAATACGAAGGAACCACTCTCGAAAATGGTGTCATGACAGCGACGAAATAGAAATTAATAGCGTTCTCGTACAAGAAGAGAATGGCATGCATAACTTACCAGGCCTTTTAAAAGGTGCTTCAGGTTGTATTAATTCTCTCTTCACTCTGAAATACTCCTTGTTAAGATATTATAGAGACAATCTTAAACTCTACGTGCAGCCCCCTAAAAGTGACCTACTGCGTTCCTCCTTCTCTGATCGCGCGTCCGACTATATTATGGAATAACTTAAGTGCATTTTTAAACCCATCCTTGAATCCTTCAAATGTGCTCTCAAAGCAAATTCTGACATGGTAGATGAAACCTCATTCAATGCAAGTTAGGGAACAAACAAAGACCCTACAAGTTATATTTATTGACATTCTAATTTTCCCTTACTTTATTTACTGGTTTAAATAGCTTATTTATTTTGTAAAAATTTACATTTTTCTTCATTTTTTTTAGATATCAGTCTGTTGGTTCACTTCAGCTTTTCACCTGCCATTTTGTTGACGACCTACATATAAAAAAAGTATGTTATGTTATGTAGTCGCCATGTTTTTTTAGCTGTTGTGTATTCATTTAGATGACAAAATTACTCGTGAATTATGGTCTATATCTTTCTTCATTCATCGATCCACTGTCTAATAGGCTGATACAATCATGTTACTTGATTAAAGTGCTTTTACATCATTCAGTAATCCCACATAAACTGGTAAAAGTACCTTTACTATATATGTTCTCCGATACACGACATTAGTCATCGAACGGCCGGGTTACTGCTACAAGTGTATTCGTGATTTCACCAGAAAAAAGTTTATTCCAACTTAAAAATCGTACCAAACCAAAACTTTTACACTAAACCTTACTAGCTTTGTAGAAACGGAAATACCAGTAAAAGCTTTTATCCGTATTTTCACCGAAAGGTTCAAAATCACAAAACCCGAACAGCCTATGCTACCCACTCTTATTGTAGATCGTTTCGAATTGTTCCTTTTAATTTGGTCATCATCTGCCTCTCAAATCAGCCACCAATCACTTTCTTCTCAACTGAACCTCTCTGAGAGACAGCCTTCCACTATGATTAAAAAATTTTTGTGTAATACAAGAGGCTTCTACCCTCCTGGGGGAAAGACTGGGTTTGACTCACGAGAGACCAAATTGCCACTTTACTGGAACAGATTATTCTCTAAGATCTGTCTCGAAATGGAAATCGACCAACAGCTCAGGTTTGTGGTATCCACAAGGAAGCCTGCTCTCGGCACTAACTAATCAGTTATGCCGCAACCTGACAATGGGACGTGACACGCGGAAGGCTCGGAGGTCTTCTTATACCACAAGGCAGCAAGGAAGGGTTCAGTGCTATTGTTTAATGCAGCCCCTCCAAGGCAAGAAACCGCTTCATCACCAGGCAAGAAACGACTGCAACACCTCTGACTCCAGCAGTGGCTTCCTTACGAGAGGATTAAAGTACGACTACAACACGTTTGACGACGAATAAAGCATAAAAAAGCTTGCAAATGATGGAAGCAACCATTTTTTGACGTAATAGGATATATATAGGTGAAGTGACAAGGGAGACGATGAACTGTCCAAGATAAGGCCCTGAAGCCGAGTGAAATTGGGATTATATAAATGTAAACTAAGGGACATACAGAAATTACACTCTGAGGCTACTCTGACATACATTTAGTCTTACATTCTTGGGACTATCTCCAGGCACTTTTTTTAAAAATACGGTTTCGGAACTATTTCTTTATCTTACTCAAATAAAGAGACGGTATTTACAATTACCGTGGCTATCCATGTAACGAATTTTTTTTACTGACATAGCGACTCGGCATATGGAATCGGTAAAAACCAATAAGTTGGGCCACCTGATATTACTTCCTCGAGATCATTCATCATATCCTACCGGATAATGGTATTGTTAAGCCTTCATTAAGTTATAGTAAGGCGATAAAAAAAACAAAACAAAAAAAATTGATGGTTTAAAGCATAAATTTTACAGCAGCACTTCCAGTTTTAGCTTACTAGTTGAATGCTCTCGATCGTGATAAACTTAATGTTACCGTAATGTTCGCCATGCTAATAATAACTGAAAATGAAAGTTTCTAAAACATTCTCAAAGAGCTCCTGTAAAAGGTGCCAGTTGGTCTGGTTTTTAGCAAGTTTCTTTCAAGGCGGAGGAAAATTTTGGGCCCAGTAGAGGCAAAATAGTTTGCTGCATATTTCTACAAATTCAAGCCAAGAAGAGCAGCAGTAGCATTCATGTTTTCCATTAAATTTGTTGCTAAGAGAATAAATGTCGGAGCGATTGATAATCAAGAAACTTTGTAAAGTAAGATAAAACGATTCTTTTTCTCCCAATGAATTGAAAACCTGTTGGTAAATGACTAAAGATATCAAAGTAAAACAAAGAACGATAAGGTAACATACAGATCTCATTGGGTAAAAGAAAGTCAGGAAGTTTTTACCATGAGGAGAAAATTAAATAAGACTTGTTAGACTAATTTGATAACATTTCGTAAAATCGGTCTCCGAAAGTGATTTGCATGTGTTTTGTGAAACCTGACTGTGTCAGCATTAATTTGGATAAACAGCGAAGAAAGACGAAGAAGAAAGACCATTATTTTTATCATCCAGCTGAGATAGGTGTTGCATCATTAGCAAATACTCATTTCAAGTGAAAAAAGTTTCTGAAATATTCATAACGATTTGTCGTTAAATGGGCTAGGTACTCTTACTAGTTTTCAGCAGTTTATTTCAGGAAGGAGGACGATTTTGGGCCTAAAAAGGGCAAAATTGCTCACTCCTATTTCTACTAATAAAAGCCAAGTAAAGCATCAGAAGCATTTATATTTTCTCTTTAGCTTCTTGCTAAGAATATGTAAACCGGTTTTTAGACTTAAATCGCCGTTACGTCCGTACGATTGATTATTAAGTGACTCATCGAGAGGCTTCGTAAAAGTTAATTTATTTTCATCCAATGAATTGTTTTCGTGCTGGAACAAGGGCTAAAGATATCAAATTAAAACGAAGAACACCAAGTCTCATTGGTAAAAAAAAAAAAAATACCAGAAAGCTTTTACCATAACAAAAAGAATCTAAATAAGTTTTTCGCATCAATTTGCACATAATTCCAGAAGTCGGTCGCAGAAACCTGGCGATCCGCGCGATGAAGAAGTCGATTTTTATCTTTGTTCTGTTACTTTTGTGTTTCATAACACTTGCTTACGTCTCATCACAAGGTTAGCCTCACCATTACTCCTGTATGAACGGGAATAGAGGAGGGACATTAGTCCTTCATAAACATAGTTATCGTTCAACACCTGCATGTTCTATGTGTGATTCATCTCCACAATAGGAAACTGTTTAAAGGTAGCTTAACACTTTCTTAAACTTCTTAACCAAGTATTAACACTTTCTTAAACTTCTTAACCAAGTAAATTGTTGGTGATGGAGAGATTTTTGGGCAGATAGTTTGTTTGAGTCCCTTTACGTGACTTTAATTACGAATGGTTCTCATTTCTCGTTTCTGTTTTGTTGTGGTTTTTTTCTTAATTAATTCTTTTTTATCGAGCTCGTCATCCCAGTTGATATATTGTAATATTTTCTAACTCTCTATCACTTCTTTATCAATTTATTAATTTTTTTGTATTTTGTATTCGAACATGTGAAAAGTTTACACTCGTAAATTATATTATCTGCTTAGTCTTCTTTTGTTATGCCGCTCAGTCTTCTTATTTGTGTCGGCTGGAATGGTTTTGAGTTTATTGCGCTCGAAATGTTAGATTTTTGCCTCAGTCGTGGCTAAATTTTTCTCCAGTAAATAACTCTCAACGTCAGGGAATATCGAGAAATTTGCGATTCCTGCTAGATATGTAGCTTTTGAGGAATAATATATTCGGAAGAAGAAGACAATAAAGATTTTGTAATAAAGATCTTCTGTAATGACAAACTCTTTGCAAACATTCTTTGTTCATTGATCTGGTTCATTCATGGATTTCTTCGACGATTCAGTCCACTTTACAAATTAAAACCGGCGAACTTCGTCGTCACTTAGAAAATAAACTTCTTTTTATTTTTGGGGAATTTTCGAATGGAAAATCTTCTTATTTAAATATGTGCATTTTTTGTGGAAATTAACTGCCATCTGCAAGTTTCCTGCAGATGGCAGTACGAATAATTGTCTGTAATTTATCTAGAAAGGTATTCATCTAGAAACTAAAATGGAAGATAAAAAGGGAAGCAAATGGATGGATGAATTGAAATGAATGTATTCCAACGGAGAAACTATCAGTGAATGCTTAATTGTTATCATCATTTTGACGTCTCCTATGGCCATCTCTTTAACCAGTGTTTTCCTTCTTTCGTATTTTTTTATAAATTTTAAAGGCTTTTGTGACGCAGACCAATGCCGACAGTTGGAGTTTACCCCTGAAAAAGCATTTGACGGCAAACGTCTTATAAACCACGTCATTCGCATCGTTGAAGTTCTGACAATGAGTTTTTGTGACAACATATGTTATATGGAACCTGACTGTGTCAGCATTAATGTTAATAAACGAGTGAGCGGTCATGGACGCCACAAATGTGAATTGAATAATGTTACTCACGAAAGACACGAACACGACTTGGAGAAGAAAGACGATTATTTTTATCATGCAGCTGAGGTAGGTGTTGCATCACTAGCAAATACTCATTTCAAGTGAAAGAAAAAACTAGTTTTCCGGTCGTAATCGTTCCAATTTTTGCTTGAATTCAAATATCACTGTCAATATTTCTATCTTTAGCATTATCATTATTGTTGGTTTAAATGCTGCTCGTTTTCCTTTTTATTCATATTTCAATGTATGATATTATTTTCTCTTCAGAGCGCTTGTGTTGATAACCCTTGCGATAACAATTCTACTTGTCAGAGCGGTTTTACTGACAAAGGATATCGCTGTTTGTGTACCACTGGATTCAAAGGTCCAAGGTGTAAGAAAGGTAACTCCTGTCATCTCAAACCGGCCGTAAGCTCGTGTTCACTACAGTTTTATACACAACTTCTAAAGGCACCTGTAAAAGTTAAAAGGTCCGTTTTTTTTATAAACTCACACAATAACCATGCAGCTGTTAACTAACCCTTGCCTAGAGAGCTGCTTCAAAATTGCAGGACTATCATGTCGGATCTCACGTAGGTCTCAATTTGTTTTTCACATCTTATTTTCACATCTGCAATGATGACGTTCTAATTAAGGAAGATCATTTTCAGATATCGATGAGTGTGCTTTAGGAACACAAGACTGCAGTGAAAATGCTGTTTGCAACAATACCAAAGGTTCCTATAACTGTTCATGTAAACCTGGATATTCTGGAGATGGACGGACTTGCCAAGGTAAACGTGACCAAAGCCCTAATTTTATTTAACGAACAAGGGAATGGAAACTGAAAACACAAATTTCAATCCTTAAAATGATAAAATTGGTCATGTGTTTAGGGGATTTCCCTATTGAATTGGTTGCCACAAATTTTACAGATGTAAACGAGTGTGCTGACGGAACATCCAATTGCAGTGCTGATGCTGTGTGTATCAATACCAAAGGATCATATCGCTGCAAATGCAAAACTGGATCTACTGGGGATGGACGGACTTGCAAAGGTAAAACAGAGCCTGTAGTTTCTGAGTCTAATGTTAATCAATTAGATACTGAGAAATGTAAATATATGTTGTTTCTTATTGATATCACCAAGCAAAGCGGCGGACAATTTTGTATTTTTAAAAGTAATGTACTTTATAACAATAGTGAATTTGAAAGACAGACAACTTCTGTTGCTCAATAATCCATACCAAAATGGGATGATGTTACTCTTGCATGGCCAAGAGAACTGCAGAAAAATTGCAAGACTCTTAAGACATCGGATCCAACTGGAGTCTCCGGTTGCTGTCTACACTTTATTTTTAAAACTGCGTTAGTTTTAAAATAAATAGCAGTAATGATGTTCTAGTTAAAGGAGAGTCTTTTTAGATATCGACGAGTGTGCTACAGGAAAAGCCAACTGCAGTGCTGATGCTGTGTGCAACAATACTAAGGGATCGTACAACTGTGCATGCAAAAAAGGATACTATGGAGATGGAAATATCTGCCGTTTGGGTAACATTTCTCCTGCTGTATTTTTTGAGCTAGTCTTTGCACTGTTTCTGTCTGTTTAGACTACTGCAACGAGAATTTCGTTCATAATAATTATTTATATCGAGATATAGATATATGGTAAATCGATAAAAACTTCGATAAATGCCTCGTTAGAAATTATTGAGAATTCAAACTAAAAACAAGTTAACTTATTGATGGACGTGAAAATGCTTGCCTGCGTAGATAGCAGTCTCATGGTGTGTATTTAAAGCGTCGAGCGGCTTGAGTAAAAACGGCGAGGCTGCGAGGGGGTTTGGGATGCTGCTTAAATTCGCGGCTCCGCTGCTTTTATTCTTATCTAGCGCATTAGACACCGCTAACAATGCAAGTTACGAAAACACGAGTGACCAAGAACGTTATGTATTTCCTATTCCACATGTAAATTTTCCCTTTGAGACCATTTTAAACCTCCATCCCATCTTTTTTTTAAAGGGTTTATTGCTGTTGATATGCCTTTCCTTTTTTTCAGCTTCGACGTGTAAGGAAATTTTCGACCGGAATGTGTAAGTCAATTATTCACTAACAAGAACAAAGCCAGAGCGGAATATAATGAAAGAATATGAAAATAACGGTGCTACTTCTAATGATAATCCTGAAAATAATATTGCACTAA